ATATATATATATCCTCCTATATATTTTGTATCATATTTGGATTACTTATAATACCTAATACAATATAAATGATGCTAGGTAATAATTGTTATACTTTATTGTTTAGGGGGAAATGACAAGAAAAAAAATTCTGACCGTGTTCAATACAAACATAACCACAGTATTTGGCACACTATCTGCAACTCACTGAATCTGTGGGTGCAGAACTTATAGGTATAGAGTTTAGCATATTAATGGAGCTTTTTCTGCATGTCAGGCACTGTTCAAAATGTTGGAGATACAGCAGAAAATAAAAGTAACAAAAATTTTGAAAGCAGATGCAAGGGAAAATCATGAGGAATGAAGGAAAGGACTAAGACTATGGTAATGTTAAAGGGACTTCCAGTCCTTTCCAAGCACCTACCTGTTCATGACACTGATTCTACACTTTAAAAGCTCCCTTTTGCTTTTACCTGACAAAAGTGCCCCACATGCATTCTATCCTTATGTTTGTCTGCTGAAGTTAGGATTCTGAGTGGGTTTTCAAGTAGAATAAGGAATTCAAAGGGAACTTTCCCAGAATGGAAGAATAAGATCAGGGGTTGGAGGAGGAAAAAGGAACTTGGAAGAAGACAGGCAAGAGGGAAAGAGGAATAAAGAAAGAAATGGAAATATGAAGTAGGGCTTAATTTGTGTGGAGTTATCTGACTTAAAATACAGAAGCAAAGTTTCTGGAAACCTTTAAAATAAAAAAGCAAGCCCTGAAGACAGACACTGGCACTGACTAGACACCTACAATAAAGATGAAGGCTGGATGCAGACACTGCACTACAAAAATGCTTCCTTCCCTTGCTCTACTTCAGGAACTTCCTCTATTTCCTGATGGAAGTACCTTACATTATCTCTCTTCTTAGATTCAGTCCTTGCTCTCTTTCAGTTCTTGTGGATCTTGTCTTTTGGCACCTTCCCTGTTTCACAACACCATTATAAAAGTATATTTATATATATAATACATATATTTTATAGTATATACTAGAGAGTTTCTAATATAAGAGAAACCATGCAATATTAAGCTAGTGTGTCTAACTTATTTCACTTAACATCATATTCTCAAGTTGCATCTATTGACCTATGAATGCCTCAAATTTATCTTTTTTATGGCAGAGAAGTACTTGGTTGTATATAAATACTATATTTTCTTTATCCATTCATCTGTTGATTGACATATATGTTGTTTCCCAGATCTAGCTATTATGAATTGTACTTACGTAAATATGGTTGGGTATATAGTTCTGTAACTAGATGACTTTAACTCTTTGGAATGATACCTAAAAAGGATAGCTGGGCCAAGTGGAAATTCTACTTTTAGTGTTTTTACCTATCTCCACAGATTTTCACCAGTGGTTATACAAGTTTACACCCCCACCAACAATGTAACGTAGAAGAGATCCTTTCCCCCACATCCTCACCAACATTTTTTTTTTTCTGGTACTGGGGATCAAACTCAGGACTTAGCACTTGCCAGGCAGGTGCAGTACCACTGAGCTACATTTCTTATTATTTGACTTCTTGATGATACCATTCTTTCTGTGATAAAATTTTAATATGCATTTCTCTAATGGCCAATAATGCTGAAGATTTTTTCAGGTGTTTACTGGCTGTACTCCTTCTGAGAAATGTCTATGTATTTCAGTTGCCCATTTTTTGATCAGGTCTTTTATTTTAGGAGTCTAGTTTTAATTTTTTTAGTTCTTTCTCCTAGATGTCTAGCCCTATGTCTAAGGGCTAGGTGGCAATTTTTTTTTCCCATTCTGTAGATTGTCTCTTCACTCTGTTGGTTGTTTCCTTTGCTATGTAGAAACTTTTTAATTTGCTATGATTCCATTTGTTGATTCTCAATATTGTTTCTTGTGCCATTGGGGTCCTGTTCAGAAAGTCCTTGCCTACAGTATGTCAAGACATGTTTTATCTTCTAGTAGATTGTGTTTCTGTTTTAACATTTAGATCTTTGACCCATTTTTATTTTAGTTTAGTACCTGGTGTGATGCATGGGTCTAGACTCAATCTTTTGCATGTGACTATGCTATTTATGCAGCACCATTTTTAAAAGAGGCTGTCATTCCTAGATATTCTCCACTGTTTGTCTTTGCGCCCTTTATCAAACATCTCATAGCTGATGTGTCCAGAGTTGTATCGGTATCCACTCTTCTGTTCCACTGATCCACATGCATTTTTTTATGTTGTTTTAATCATCACAGATTTGTAGTATGACTTTAAACCTGAGATTATGATGTTTCCTGCTGTACTTTTGTTACACAGGATGGTTTTGGCTATTCGAGATGCTTCTAGTTCCATATGGATTTTAGGGTTGTTTTCTCTAGATCTGTGAGAAATTATGTTGGTATTTTGACTAGAATTGCTGTAAAGCTGTATATCAGTTTTGGAAGTACAGCCATTTTGATTATATTGTTTCTGCCGTTTTGAAAACAAGGGATATCTTTCCATTTTCTGATATCCTTCTCCATTTCCTTTTTCAGAGTGACAGAATTTTTACTTTCAGACTGTTTACTTCCTTGGTTAATTCCTATATATTTAATTTCTCTCAATACTTCACTACACAATGTGGTATGTATATGCAACAGAGAACTAGTCAGTCATAAAGAAGGATTTAATTCATAGAAGACCCAAAAAGCTCTGCCAAAAGACTTCTAGACTTAATAAAGAGATTCAGTAGAGTAGCTGGATACAAGGTATACACTCAAAAATCAATAGGTTTCTAGTACACAAGTAACAGACTCATTGAAAAAGAAATAGGAAACAATTCCTTTCACAATAGCATCTAAAAAATGAAATATATAGGAATCAATCTAGCAAAGGAAATAAAAACCTCTACCTTGAAAACTACAGAACTCTGAAAAAGAGATCAAAAAGGATATAAGAAAATGGAAAGACATCCCTTGTTCCTGGGTAGGAAGAACCAATGTGAAAATGACCATACTTCCAAAAATGCTACATATACATTCAATGCAATCCTGATTGGTATCCCAACGGTATACCTCACAATATACTTTCACAAGAGAAAAAAATCTAAAATTCATTTGGAACCAGAGGCAACCTAGAATAGCAAAATCAATTCTAGGTAACACA